GAATATCATCAAAAGTGAGTTTGTGTTTCAGTTGATGTTTTTGGCTGTTTTTCTTGGCACTGATTTCCTCAAGTCAAGAAAATAGATTCAAAGCTTATTCTTCAGACCAGCTTCTTCCTTTCTCCCTTCCTCCCTTCCTCTCTTTTTTCCTTCCTCTCTTCTTCCCTCCTTCCTTTTCTTCCTCCATTCCTTCCTCTGTCTCTCTCTCTCATCTAGAAGATTACAGACTGTTTTAGCTTAATTTATGGGCCATCATATCCAGACTTAGATCCTACATTAATGGTTTAGGATTATTTCCCTAGGTGATATTCAGTATAGCAGAGATCCAGCACAAACAGAGTGGGTGGCTGGATTCCATGTCAGGCTGAAACGTTATTCCTGGAGGTTCTGACATTCTTACCCTGCAATTTTCCTAAGGCTGTATTGTGAAGCAGTTTTTGGAATAAAAGATTTTTGAGCTCCATTAACAAACAAAGGGAGTCCCTCCATGCCCTCCTCATACCTTATTTTCAAGGAAGAAGCCTAATCCCAGTTCCTCATTATCACATGGAGTGCTTCAATCTATTGTTTCTAAGACAAATTGCCTCTCCTGACAGCTTTCAGACTCAGCCAGCGAATCCATGGTGTCAGCATCACTTGCAGGTCATTTATGCTTTCTTTCTGGTCCACACAGATGTTTATCTTGCCTTGCAGGCTGATTTTGTCTTCTTAATTTTCTCTTTTCATACTTTGTTGCTGCTCTGGGTTTGAAGCAAAAGTCTGAGCTACTGTGATTGAAGTTCGAGTTAGTATTTTAAAATGTGAATCCACCTATATTCAGAAATGTGACACTACAGTGGCAGTGTGAAAATTAAAGTAAGAGAACCACAAGTATGGAGCTTACACAACAATTCTCTCCTACTTCAATATCTTCTTTTGATGAATTTGTTCAATAATTGAAAGAATGAGGTAGTTTGGACTTGGACATAGAAAAACTCCAAGTTACCATTTAAAAGTCCCTAATGGTTGTTTAAAATCAATTTGACCTCTCCCACAGTAAAAAATAAAATTAAAAGCTTACTGTGAAATAATAAGAATTTTAAGATTGAAGAGGCATTGGAAAGTATATGTTCCAAATACCCATTCAATCCATGTATATTCACTCAGCCTCTGCTTGTATATTTATAGGAAGACTGCACACCGATTAACAAGATATCATAGTTGGCTAACTTGTAATTCTAGAAAATATTTTCTCATATGGATTTTTATTCCATCTCCTTACACACCTACTTAATGATTCTAGGTTTTCCCTCTGTGCTTAGATGCTCAACTGTGTCTGACTCTTTGCGACCGCATGGACTGTAGCCTGCCAGGTTCCTCTGACCATGGGGATTCTCAAGGCAAGAATACTGCAGTGGTTTGCCATGCCCTCCTCCAGGGGATCTTCCCAACCTAGAGATCAAACTAGAGTTTCCTGCATTGCAGGCAAATTCTTTACCAGCTAAGCTACCAGGGAAGCAATAAAATACCACTTTTACCTCTTAAATGATATTCTATGGGACATTTGAAACTCGCTCTTCTGTTTCTTTTTTCCAGCCTAAACACTAATTACTATTAAAAAAAAACATTATCTGTTCATTTTTTATTTGCTCATCTATTTATTCTTCTTCTAACCACACTACACTTCTTGGCAGGCAATCTTAAGGACAGAGAAAGCTATCCAAGGAGGAAGCCATCAAAAATGCTGAAATGTCAACCAGTGAACAAGTTACCACAACACTGAATTTATATTTCCACATGTAGAACTTGAAACTTCCTAGTAGAGCTATTCTAGCTATTCAGCTGGTGAGAAGTCTTACTTGTGGGTAGGGAAATGAATGTAACAAAGCTATAGACTACAAGAGAGATGATTTTTGTATGTATTTCCTATCCTAGATGATATCTCATGAATCCTTCTGCAAATGTCACTACATATAGAGTGTACAGTTTATGTAGAATTCTTCTTACAGTTTCATCTTCTAGCAGTTAAAAAGCAAACACATCACTTTGCCGACAATGATCCATATACTCAAGGCTATGGTCTTTCCAGTAGTCATGTATGGATGTGAGAGCTGGACCATAAAGATGGCAGAGCACTGAAGAATTGATGCTTTGGAATTGTGGTGCTGGAGAAGACTCTTGAGAGTCTGTTGGACAGCAAGGCAATCAAACCAGTAAACCTTTAAGGAAATCAACTCTGAATACCCTTCCTCTGACGCTGAAGCTGAAGCTCCAATACTTTGGTCGCCTGATGCAAACAGCCAACTCATTGGAAAAGATCCCGTGCTGGGAAAAATTGAAGGCAGGAGAAGAGGGTGAAAGAGGATGAGATGGATGGATGGCATTATCGACTCAATGGACATGAACCTGGGCAAATTCTGAGAGATGGTCAGGGACAGGGAAGCCTGGAGTACTGCAGTCTATGGGCTCGTTAAGTGTCAGACACAACTTGGCGACTGAACAACAACAATGAAAACCAGGCTCCTATGCACTGTTCTTCAACCTCATTTCAATGAGACTTTCCCCAAAACAATGTCGGTTTAAATCATGAGTTTTACTAGCATGTAATCTTACTGTGTGATCACTTAGATTTCCATTCTACTCTTTTTATAGTATATTTCTTTGCCACACTGCCGTCATGCAGATGCCAAGCCTAAGCCAGGTTCAGGTAAAACTGGTGATGTTTCAGGAAGAAAACTAATAAGCAGTGGGGTTTGAAATCAGTACAAGGATATTAAACTCCCAACTCTGTCCTATTACCGGCTGTGAGGTGTAGAGAAAGTTACTAAATCACTCCAAACTTTGGAAAATAATACCTTCTTTACACATCTGTGTCTCTATTTCTCCCTGGGTCGCTGCTTTGCAAATAGGTTCATCTGTGCCATTTTTCTGAAGAACAAATATATGGACACTGAGAGGGGAATGAGATGGGGGGGTGAACTGGGAGACTGAGATGGACATATCTACAGTAATGATACTGTGTATAAAACAGATAACTAATGAGAACCTACTATACAGCACAGGGAACTGTACTCAGGGCTCTGCGGTGACCTAACTGGGAAGGAAATCCAAAAAAGAGGGGATATATGGATACACATGTACATCTGGTTCACTTCGCTGCACACTAAGACAACACTGTAAAGCAAATATTCTCCAATAAATTTTAAATCTACTTTATAGTATATAAGGGTGAAAGGTGAGTAGGATAACATTGGGAAACAGTCAGAAGAATCCTAAGCATCAAGTACACGTATCCTTTTTTCCTCTTGCTCTCAGCCTTTTCGAAACTATGACAAGTGTTAAAATACAATATATATACTGGGTCACAACAAAAAATTTGTTTATTAAAATCTCATAACACAAATTTGAAACAATTCATAGTAATCTCTCATCTATTTAAGCACTTTATGCAATTTATTAACAAAATATAGTTTTGTTGCATTTTTTTTTTTAAAGTCAGAGCCACTCCTCAGACCTGTTACAGGATATTTCTTCATAATTCATCTACCCCAGTTACCTTCATACAAGATTGATCTTTTTGGTCAATTCTTTCTCAAGTATTTTTGAATGGACACAAGAGTGAATACAATCCCTTGGTTTTTCTAATGAGTCCTTGGAGAAAAATTCTGAGTTCAAACCAATGGTTTATGTTTTGTATGAGGCAAATTATCCTATATTTTCCTCTTCCTCTTCTTTTTTGGGGGTTTTAATTTTAATATAAGGTATACATATTTGGGAGCTACCCAGGTGGCACCAGTGGTAAAGAGCCCACCTGCCAATGCAGGAGACTTAAGAGACGTGGGTTCGATCTCTGGGTTGGGAAGATCCCCTGGAGGAGGGCATGGCAACCCACTCCAGTGTTCTTGCCTAGAGAACCCCATGAACAGAGGAGCCTGGTGGGCGACAGTCCATGGGGTTACAAAGACTGGGACATGACTGAGCACTCACATACACATTTCAGAGAACATAAATTTTCTAGTTATACTTTTAAAGTCATATTTATGAAAATATTACCTGTTTTTTCCCACCTTTAAAAAAGGATACACAATAATTACATAGTGCTTTAAATGTTACATTTAGAGCTAATATTTATCTCTTTATTCACATTATTCTTTTTGGGTGGGGAGGGAACTGGAGTAAATGTGGATTTCCGGGGGCTGGCAATTTCCTGATACTGCTGGGGTAAGAAGATTAAGATAATGGCCACAGACAAAATGATTTACCCAAATGAACTAATGAACAGAATAGTCAATGAGAAGAGTCAGTAACTGGGCTTTCTTAGAACTAAGTGGAAAACAGTGTTTATATGAGAGTCTGTTAATCTAAACACAAACTCTTTCTAACTAAATGGTGCAAACTTCAATGAAAGAAAACAAAGATCTTCATGTTTTTTGTCTCTCATATCAAAAAATTCTCAAAATTAAGCTTTTGTTTTCATATAAATAAAATAATTAGGCTCAGATTCAGGTGATTTTTCAGAACACATGGTGTCCTCCTTAGATTTTAAGTTCCAGACCAAGTAGTTGGCCCTTTCTATTGCTCTTACTGCATTTCCCAATAGGATCCTGCTTAACCAAGGTCAGGGTTTATTCTGTCTTGTTAGAGGTGTGCTGTTTTAGCAGCATTTATTATGACATTATTAAGCATATGCTTATATTCATAAGGGAGAAGGAAACTGTAGTGGAATTTAAGATGAGATTTGAGACAATGAAACCTCAAAAGAAAAGAAACTAGACCTTAGTGTTGGGACCTGGCCCTGAGAATTGATGACTCTCTGCCATGCATTCACCATCTCACGATTCTTCTCTCATGGCCTGTATTCTCCATGATCTTATTCTTTAGGAGTTAGGAACAGCATCTGATCAATATAAATTCTTAATGCCAGAGATTTAAGACACAAGATTTTAAGGCAGGTACGTTGCCGTTCTCCTAAGTTTCACAGAGAACAAATCTTCCACCCTCAGGACTCTCCCTGGCATCCCTCACATTAGCCTGTCCTTCCACAGCACTCTCCTCAGGGCACCCTTGATCTCTGCATTCCTCAGGCTGTAGATCAGCGGGTTCAGCATAGGGTGGAAAAGACTATAAAACAGGGAAAGAATCTTCTGCTGCTTCTCAGGGTGGCGGGACGTGGGGGCCATGTACATGACGATGGCACTGCCAAAGAAGAGCCCGACCACGCAGAGGTGGGAGGAGCAGGTGGAGAAGGCCTTTCCGCGGCCCTCACCTGACCGGGTCCTCAGGATGGCAGCCAGGATGCGCGCGTAGGAGAGCAGCACCAGGCCGAGGGGCCCGACCAAGACCAACATGGAAGCGGCAAAGATAACAGCTTGGTTCAGCCTGGTGTCAGCACAGGCTAGCTTGAGGACAGACAGGATTTCACAGAAGAAGTGGTTGATTTCGTGAGGCCCACAGAAGGGCAGCCTTAGGATGAGACCCACATGGACCAGGGCCAGGAGGGAGCCACATGCCCAGGAAGTGACAGCTTGAACAGTGCACACTCTCCAGCTCATGATGACAGAGTAACGTAGCGGGTGGCAGATGGCCACGTACCGATCATGGGACATCACCACCAAGATGAGACACTCGGTGTGTGCAAAAGCCATGTATAAAAAGGTCTGCATTATGCATGGGACAAAGGAGATAGTATTTTTCTTGTTCAGCAGGTTCACCAGCATCTTTGGGACATTGTTTGATGCATATGAAATATCGACGATGGCCAGGTATGAGAGGAAGAAGTACATGGGGGTGTGCAGTCTGGAGTCCAGTGAGATGAGCCCCAGGATGACCCCGTTCCCCAGCAGGGTGAGGACATAGAACAGGGAAAAGAGCGCAAAGAGGAGCATTTGCATGCCTGGGCTGAGCGGGAATCCCAGGAGAATGAACTCTGTGACCCATGTCTGATTTTCCACCATACCCTGGCGACAGTGCCTGTGCTGATCACAGCTGCTGCAGTGCCTGTGGGCTGAGAAGCAAATGTGGGTCTGGATTAGCCACTAACAGTAAGACAGCGTCTGTGGTGTGTACTGTGTGCTGACTCAGCCAACAATCGTTTGCAAATTCATCACGTCACGTCTTTTAATCCACAGTAAAGCGGAAAGACTCCCGTAAATCAGATCAGTGAACACAGGATGTCATGTATTATTTCCATTTCTTCAGAATTTTATTTAACTCTGATTGCAAAGTTTATACTCATATTGTCAAGATGGTAGCCACAGAATAAATTGTTCTCCATGATGACTAATCATTTTAAAGAAAGGGTTTAAAGAAAATCATTCTCATTTTGCTTTCTTATTTCTTCAGTTCTCAAATTTTGCTCATACTTTATCATTTGATTCGCTCTTATTTTAAAGCTTGTGCAGAGTACATTGCACACAGCAGTTGCTCAATAAATGATCATGGAGTAAATACACCAATAAGACAGGGAATGAGATGTACAAATGCAACTTCAAGGAGGTATATTTCCTTCTGTGTTCACCAGGTTTAAAGTTTTAGCAAAAGAAATTGCACCAAGTTTTTCCTTCCTGATACGATGCAGGAAAATCTAGATTTTTCCATTCTGGGCATAAGCAGAGTGCCATCACTGATCTGGTCAGCATTCATGGAAGTTGTTGATGATCTATGATCAGGGCAAAGATCTCTGTTATATCCCTACTCCTGCCCTACACTACCTGCTTGCAGGGCTGCTTCCCTGGTTCTAAGGAGATGTTACTTCTGGGCCCACTGCACTTGTACAGTGCATTTCTTGAATGGATGAATGGATGGATGGATAAAGGATGGATAAAATGCATTACTCTATGAATAACATCCAGAGTATATTCTGGAATTTAATCAAGTCTTTTGACTCTTCTTTAATTTTTTGGCTACCGTTCCACCAACCTCATGGCCACCCAAAGTGACAAGTGTGACAGAAAGGGAGAATCTGAAATGTTCCATAGAAGCATACACCTATTACCTGACAATTCATGATAGACATGATCATTCTCTATGAGCAGCTTATGACCCAGCTTTGCAAATCCCAAGGCTGTCTTAAGCCCAGAAACCTGCCTGCCTTTAAGCTGGCCCTGAACTTCCCATTCAGTATGCTGATTTCTGGAGTCCTTCCTTTCTCCAGATCCCAGCTCCTCTAAATGATCACACTTGGCCAAAAGCCCTTTATTCACTGTGGCACTGGTCTGAACCCAGAGATAGGTTTACATGTACAGGAAACAGCACAGAGGCCAGGAGAGATTTTGAAGATCCAAACTGAGGCTCTGGCTCCCCGCAGCTGTCTCTGAATTAGGGGGTCTGCAGCTGCAGGAGCTATCCCTGTTTTTTTCACACAGGCGGATGCAGGGACTGGATCCCGCTCACTGTGAGCACCAGCAGTACAGTCTTTATGCTCATCTCTGCCCGAGTCCTCCCAGATCGTCCCCTGCGTGTCCCTGAGGGGGAGGGGACCAGGACATACAAAACACAGATGCCACCTCTAGCAGGGGAGCAAAAATTGCTTAACTCTTTGTCTCCATTTCTCTGGACTCTGGGGATGGATGTTCAGGAGAAAAGAAGCTGGCAGGTGATGACTTAATACCCAGATGGATTCATGCACATGAAAGTCATGAAGTAGTAAGAACAAACAAACTCCCAGGGTCACGTTGTAAATTACACTCCCCAGGTACTTTGCTGGTGGTGTGTTCCTGGATCTCAGGCTTACCCCAGAGGGATTTAGTGGAGCTGGGAGGAAGCAGAACATCATTCTTAATGAGAGATTAACTTGAAACTGGCACTCGTTTCTTTCTCCTTTCCTCCTAAGATAACTCTAAGTTAGTGTTAACAGATAAGAACACTTCTACCAAGCTTCCTGCACTGTGCTGAGAAAGAGGCTGAGTCTTCTACAGGCTATACCTGAAATGTGATATAGGGTGTTAGGAGAAAGGGAGGAGAGAAAGCAGAGTAGAGCTGGCCTTGAAGAGGCATCTGGTAGAAGGGCAACACAGGTCTAATTCACATCCTTAGATACACTCGGAAGTTCAGTGAGCTTTCTGATGCCTTGGACTGAGATGTTGTCTTTAGAGTCACATAATAAAACAATAGAGGGTTTCTTGAAAATTCTTATTGTCTCTCTATGTGTGTTACACCTACATACATATAAATATGTGAATGTATGTGTGTCTGTATGAGTGTGTATATTTGTATATACATTTATTTATTGGGCAAAGTTTTGGAGAGAAATAGCCAAAACTCTGTTTTAAGAACACAGCCAGTTCTTTACTGAAGAGAAGTATTGAATTGGCTAAAATGTTCATTCAAGTTTTTCCATAAAACGAATTTTTGGGCCAGCCCAGTAGATGGTTAACATATAAGCAATGTGGTTCTCTGTTAAGAAGACACAGAAGGAAATATGCCTATGGTTTTTGGTTGCCTAAACAAGGATTCATAACACATACATTTGCATGGGTAGAATAAAGAAGCTCAAGGAATAATTGTCCTAAAACCTCTGGAGGAGTGATTAGAAAAGTTTAGGAGCTTTGCATGGCTAGGAAACAAGCTGAAGAACTTAACAAGGTAAAAGAAATTGACTACTCCAGACTGGGGAATTAAATAAAATACGGCCAAGATGGTTTCTAATTTCTACATAATACTCATATGTGAATACTTAGTATCCATGATTATTCATACGAATCACAATAATTTAAACGTCATTCATTCGTACTTCACTCATCAGTTTATACTTACTGAGTATCTGCCGTATGTGGCCGTTGTCCTCAACACTGAAGATTCAAACATTAGTGAGACATTAGCTTGATCTTCAAGGATCTTGTCATCTCCCTACAGAATGAGCCAGGCAAATAAACATTTAAGGAACTGTGATACGAGTATGCTCAGTGTACAACGGTGCTAGATGATTCTGAAAGGCGGCTGGGACACGCTTCATGGTAAATGAGATGCTTAAACCCTCTTCAATAAGATGTAGGATGAATATGGCATGCCAGACTGTACCTGAGGGTGTGAGGAGGGCGCAGCAAAAGAGTAATATCGGAAAGGGGACTCACATACAAGTTTCCCTAACACGTCAGATGTTGGACTTCATTTTAAATAATTAGAATGATATGACTAAATATGTGGTTAAATATACGGTTACACTTTTTGCTAAGCGTAGAGTACTATTTAAAAGAATAAGAATGGGGACTATGAAGCAAAGCTACATGAAGGGGTATCATGTGAGAGTAAGGAGTACCTGAGTTAAGGTGGTAGCTATAGACATAGACAGGAGATAATGTATATGAAACATGTAAAAGAAACATAGGTATCAGTATTGTGACTTTTTGATGTGTGGTGAGGAGAAAAGAGAAGCCTGGATGCATCCCAGGAGTCTGACTTATGTGGCTGATACAACTCAATGTCAAAAAAAAAACCCTCATTTAAAAATGGGGAGAGGACCTGCATGGACATTTGTCCAAACAAGATGTACAGATGGCCAATGAGCACATGAAAAGATGCTCAACCATCAGAGAAATGTAAATCAGAAAAACAATGAGGTATTACCTTACACTGGTCAGAATGGCTATCATCAAAATGGTCACAAATGAGAAGTGTTGGTAAGGATGTAGAGACAAGGTAATCCCAGTACACTGTTGCTGCTGCTTCTGCTGCTAAGTCGCTTCAGTCGTGTCCGACTCTGTGACCCCATGAATAGCAGCACACCAGGCCTCCCTGTCCATCACCAACTCCCGGAGTTTACTCAAACTCATGTCCATCGAGTCGGTGATGCCATCCAGTCATCTCATCCTCTGTCGTCCCCTTGTCCTCCTGCCCCCAATCCCTCCCAGCATCAGGGTCTTTTCAGTGAGTCAACTCTTCGCATGAGGTGGCCAAAGTACTGGAGTTTCAGCTTCAGCGTCAGTCCTTCCAATGAACACCTAGGACTGATCTCCTTTAGGATGGACTGGTTGGATCTCCTTGCAGTCCAAGGGACTCTCAAGAGTCTTCTCCAACACCATGGTCGCAAAGAGTCGGACACGACTGAGTGACTGAACTGACTGACTGAACTGAAGCATATATTATGCAGCACAGGAAATGCAGCCAATATTTTAAAAAACTTTAAATGGAGTACAATACAGTATATAAAAATATTGGATCACTATCTTGTATATCTAAAACTAATATAATATTATAAATCAACTATACTTCAGTTTTCCAAAGACCAATATTAAAGAGATGGTGAGAGGAAGTTAATCTCCCAATGAGAGCTAAAAAAAGAGATGAATAACAAACCATAAAATATGAATTTAAAACACCAGTGAGCTATGTTATATATTATGCCAGGGTGCAAACTATTCACTTTAATCCTGTGAGTAATT